CTCTGAATTGTGCAATGTAAGAATGTATAACTAATTCATATAAATAAATTAATAAAATTTTTACACAAAACAAATGGCTACTGGCACCACTTCAGCAAAGGAATAAGATGGCAAAATTGTTTTCTGGGTCGTTAGCTATACACATTCATTCTTAGGAAAAAACCATTCCCTATACCAAATCCATAAATTCATAAACCCAAGGATAAAGAAATAAAAGCATCTGTAATTCTTAAATGAATTCTTAACTTTCTATAAATTGTACAAGCCAGGCCAAACTTTTACTGATATAACAGCAGATGGACATTCAAATTTTCCCCCAAATAACTGAAAGAAATTACAATATTTTACATTAATCAAAGGAGGGAGAGACATGAACAATTTTAGTTTCAACACATTTTCATTGTGCCCCTTGGTGGGATCTAATTTTAGCAAAAACCTAACATATGTAATTACTAAATATATATATGGAAAGAGCAAAAATCTAGCTTTCATATCAGTCTCAATAGTGATTAATGTAATCTTACTAACTAACAAAAAGAAAAATCCTCCATAAATAAGCATCTAATTATAAGAATACAAATATCATTTTCTGGAGTAGTGAGTAAATAAAGCTTGTTAAAGCAAATTTTTATTATTGTATACTGTGGTGTAAGATAAACTGTGTTGTGACAAGCACAGAATATCACCTACTACAATCACAAAATTTTGATACTCAAATGCAAATTGTATTCAGGTTTCAAAATTCTAAAATTCTGTAATTGTTATAGCTATACAAATAAATAATGAAGAAAAATAAATTATAGAGTTTCAAATGAATAAAAACATACAAGGAAATTTGGTGCTGTAGTTAGAAGATCAAAGTGTAATGAATTCAGAATTGTAACTGGAGCCGACTCCTCTACCTTAATGTCCATGTACTACTAAAACATTAACAGTAATTAGATCTCTGGAATTAATTTAATGAAATGTAAAACACTGACTCAAGTAGTAATTCAGCTGAACTCATATCCAGAGATGTTCCAACAAAAACGTTACGTAGTATTTTTGAAAATTCTTATTTAATACTATCAGCATGAAATGCGTTTTAAATGTATATATATGTTTATATATGTAAAACATACATATATACATAATTTATACATACATGGACTCTAATGACCAAATAAACAAACACTGGCCGTTTGTACCATAACAAATTAATAAAATAAATTTAATTTGTTACCATCATAATTTTTTAAAACCTCTGATATTTATAAGTATCTTGAAAACTGAGCATTTTTATAATACATAAGCAAAAAAGAAACTCTCAAACATGCTTATTAATTATTTTTTTCAGTTAAAGTTATAAAACTAAAGTAAATCATATGCTAAAATAAAAATTCTCCATAAATGATTCAGAGATCCTTCAAGTATGAGAAAGATGGTTTTATATTGACTATTAGACTATGTAAGAATATATTCAGTGCTAATCATTTATTTTTCTTAGGAGTGGTTTCAATTTCAAATCATTATCTTATTTCACTGGCAATATCTTCAGAAACTTGTTTGCACAGTGAAGTAAACTTTTCTTTGCGGTGGGAAATTATTTCTAATAACTTTAAGTGAAAGTATTTCAGTATAGACAAAAAGTCAAATGTAAGAGAAAGTCAAGGCAATTATTCAGAGGACCAGAGCTACCCAGGAACTGAATAAAGATGTTAGGTTTGTGTTACTTCAAAGTACTCATACTTAACTAGTTTGACATCAACTGAATTAACTGACTATACGTTGCACTTATTATAGGCTCTTGTGGAATGGGCCAATCTCAGTCAGGAATTTTGTCCACAGTACAGGCTACTCCTACACAGTCAATTATATCAGGCAATGTTATATATAGGTGATAAGTAGACTATTAAACAACTAGAGGAACTGAATTTATATGGCACAGTTTAGCTCAACATTGGGAACGCAATGGATTGAGCCTTGACTAATAAGTTGTTAAAGATTGTGCTCTTAGACACAGACAACAGTGCAGTGATTACCAAAAAGAAGCAGGGTCGGGGGAGAAAGAAGAGAGTAAAGCGGGAATAAATGGTCATAGAAGAAGACCTGACTTGGGGTAGTAAACACACATTACACTATATAGGTGATGTATTATAGAACTGTACACTTGAAACCTATATAGTTTTATTTAACAATGTCACCACAATAAATGTAATAAAAATTTTTTAAAAAGAAAAAAGAAAGGTTGTGCTCATATAAATTCTTTGTATGGTTCTATGGTGAATGAAACAAGATACATAAAAATAAGTAAATTCTCTTTAATGACATGGCACCTACCAAAAAATCTTGAGTTTTAACAGTCTAAACAATCAAAGAGCCGTAAATATTCTAACAGTTGTCAAGAGAAGGATGGTAGGAAATCTTAAATAGGTTTCATGTCACTTAAACTTTGTTAACTTGACTATAATAACAGGTGTGAATTTGTTAACAGAATCACCACCTCACTTCGAATGAAACAGATGATTATCTCCAGCATTATTTGGAGGGGAATCTAAACCATCAAATATAAATTTTAGTTAAGAAATACAAAGTAACACAAAGTAACACTAACAGAGGTATATTTAGATAATATAAATCTATCATATGACACTATCAGATGTGCTTTGGCGAGGACTCCTATGATTATTCCAGGCAACAAGTTATTTTTTTTTATTTAAATTTTACACTCATTTTGCTAAAAAGAAAATTTTCTTGTAAAAAAGAAAAACAAAAAACCACTCTTTAAAAAACCATAAATATTAACACATTTTTAAAAAGTGTAAATTAATATGCACAATTGATACAATGAATCGGGGTTTTTTTTTTTAGGAGCTTCCGACTATTCCCAGTTGTTATAATTCAGTTATTTTAAATGTTAGTTTTATTTACCAATTAATAGAAATCACACATCAAATCTGTGTAATGGATAACTTAAGGAGTAATGCTACTTCTTCATAATGAATATTGAAAAAAATATCAAACTACAAAATTTACTCTATTATGTTTGCACCTGTATTTGCATGACCTGGAATAATCAATTTAGTTAACTGACAGCACTAATAAATCTACTAAACACATATCCAGTTGATAAGGATGTTAGCCAGAAACCAGTATGAAGGTAAATAGAAAACTCTGGAGAAAAAAAAGTAGGGGGATGGGGGCCAAAGGGATGGTGTGTCATCATGAGAAAGGGTGGATGAAATGAAAATGCTATTTCTCCCCATTTTTCAGTTTTCCTAAGGCCTTCGTAGGGGGCCAAAGGGACGGTATGGCATCATGTGAAAGGGTGGATGAAATGAAAATGCTATTTCTCCCCATTTTTCAGTTTTCCTAAAGCCTTCGTAAGTGGCAAGTACTTCCTTTTCCACCGGAAATGACTTTCTGGGTGGCATTTCTCAGGAGCACTAACTATAAAGTACTGACACCTATTTTACTGCTGTTTATTTTATGGTAAAGATACAATTATTTTTGCATCTACAACACCTTACAATTTCTTTGTAAATATTATGATTTTAAAGCTGGCAGAAAATTAGAAAGCCAACCACTTAATCTAACTAACCACTAATTTTGTTGATAGGGTACGTGAGGTCAAGAGAGGCTATGATTTAGTTTCTAATCTACATAAATATATTGTGACTAAAAGGTTTAGACATACCGTACCTATTGTTATGAAAACCAAGAGACAAATACACATAAGAAATACTTCAAAAACACAAAGAAAAGGTTACAGAAAAAGAATTCTTCACTGAGAACTGCTGGTGACCTGTTCTGATGTTAGAAATAGTGCACTAAAAAGTAAAGGGATTCAAAGACTAGATTAGGGAAAGGGCACTAAATGATTAAAGTGTAAACAAGTAATCATTACAAACTGACAAGTAGATACAAAGTACTTACCAAGTACATGTTATATCTCAAAAATCCATTAAAATGAAAAATGTAAAGCTTCTCATTTTCTAGCAAATTTGTTTCTACCTCTATTTTATTATAAAGACAAAGTATATGGTAAGAAGATAAAAAGGGGGTACTTGTGCTTATTTCAAATCCCCAAACTCCTTTTACATAGCACATCTAGAAAATCAATTCCATTGCTACTTTAGTCAGGTAGTTCTAAATGACTGCAATCTTTTATATGCTCAGCAGAGGTGAAAACAGAAAGCTCGGGTTACAGAGTTTGATGATACTGGATTCTACACAGCTTTCTATGACTATTTCTGTGGCATCATTTCAATACATTAAAGTATCTTGTTTTAAGGTAAATGTATTTTTTACATTTTAAAAACTCAAAAAGTCAATTGTGTGTGTTCCTAAGATACTATTTGCTCATAGCAATGATCAGAGCCAATACAGGTATTTTTTTCATTGGAATTACTAGATCACTGCTTCCCAAAAATCTCCCTGGCAGAATGCAAAATGGCTTTACACATGGCACATGGGTTAACATCTTTAATTTACTTTTCAAGAACGGAGTTTAATATACATTAGAAAAAAACATATGTTGTTTTCTACTTTAAAAGTGAGTATTTTAAAATATATATTCAGTAAATAGTAGTATAGGAGGCATGTGAATATGGCCAAATGTAAAGTCTAAAACCCAGCAGGGGTGTCCAACCTTTTGGCATCTCTGGGCCACAACTGAAAAAGAGTTGTCTTGGGCCACACATTAAATACATTGCAACACATAAACACACACACACACACAAATCTCGTAATGTTTTAAGTAAATTTATGATTTTGGGTTGGGCAGCATTCATCACTCTCCTGAGCCACACACAATGGGCTGCAGGTTGGACACCCCTGTAAATTTTGGGAAATGCTGTCCTAAATAAACTAACTTCTCTGGTAATAAGCTAGCACAGTATGACTGATGATCAATACTTTCTTGCCCCAGCCCAGCCTGTGTTTTTTCTGCCTATATTGGAAAACGTACAATAGTGGCTACCAAGAAGCTAAATTAGACAAATAAAAACTCAAATACTTACTGTTGCTGGGGAGGCCCGAGTGGTGTGTGTCACTGAGTGACCAGAATTCTCCATTGAATTGCCAATCAGATAGGTTCCTCCAGAGCTGCTGATGAGTTGTCCTCCCGTGACGCCCATCTGAATCCCTCCAGTGCCCACCATACTGTGGGATGAGACCACAGTAGTCACCTGTGCAGAACTCCCTTGAGTATCAAAGTAATTCCCTCCAGTGTTTTGGCTGTACATCTGTGTTTCTGTGTAAGGATAAGTTGTTGTTCGGCTTTAGAAGAAGAAGAAAAAAGAAATTTACTAGCTTATTTATATCACCTTATTTAATCTTTTCTAGTGTGTATTTCCATCTAAAATACATCAGTTAGCTTAGCCTGTGAAATATGACAAGTTTTGTATTTTGTATGAAACTTCATTTCCAGAAGCAGTGTTTACTTTCCAACGTGAAAGGACCTTCCTTTATTAAGTACCTCAACACTTCTCTGTACTTGAGGGTACTTGCCCTCTACTATTGTCTACCTCCAGCAAATAAATAGGTCCAGGTCTCTTCCCTCCAAAAAGTCTTGCTGAGTGACTTCAATTCCTTATAAAACTCCCTCAAATCCCAGTTTTAGAAAAGCTGGGATCTGGCAGGCACAGGGGCTGGCAAATCGACTCCTGCTGCTTCACATTCCTGGGTGACTTCCAACAAACCTCCATGACTAAGGAAGCTTGCATAGATGTCCTTCCTGCCACCACAAGGATCCTGAGCAGTTTACTCGCCTTGCACCCTAAATCTCTCTCTTCTCTCTCTTCCTCTGTACTCAGGGTTCTCTTTGATTGAAGACTATGCGAGCTCTTCATGTCCTCACTTTCCACTTCCCAACAACTGCAGTAAAGCTTCTGCCCTTAGCCATTCACTGAAATTGCTTTTAATAAGGTCACTTGCAACTAAATTTAAATACCAAGACATAAGGTTTCTGTCAGTCCTTATCTTTTTTGACCTATCTGCAATATAATGTTGTTGACCACTCCCTGTTGCCCTTTCCCTCCTATTCTGATTAAGCTTGTCTGACTGATTTTTCATTTTCAATTGATTATAACATTTTAACATGACTTCTGTTTTCATTTTTTTAACTTAATTACATACTCACAAGAAGTTACAAAAATAATTCAGAGCAGGATAAAACACTTTTATCGATGGACCTGGAGATTATTATGCTAAGTGAAATAATCCAGTAAGAGAGAGACAAAATCATTATGATCTCACTTATATGTGGAATCAAATTAACAAAATAAACTCACGAACAAAAGAGAAACAGAGACATGGATACAGGGACCAGACTGACAGCTGTCAGAGTGAAGGAGGGTTGGGGGACTGGATGAAAGAAGGTGAAGGGACTAAGTAAAAAAAAAAAACCACACACATACACACACACTTATATATAACAGAGACACAAATAACAGTGTGGTGATTAACAGAGGGGAAAAAGGGTGGGCAGTTGGTGGAAGTGAACAAAAACGAAGGGGATGGAAAGAGACTTTGCCTGGGGCGAAGGGTGCATGATGTATATCATATTTTATTGACTTGTATACTTGAAACCTTAATGATTTTGCAAACAAATGTCACTCCAATAAATTCAGTAAAAATTCAAACATTAAACTAAAATTTTCAGGGTTCTTTTTTTCATTCTCAACCCACATCTCAGAGCCAGCCATTACTGACAATTTAATGTATATATTTTCAAACATTTTCTATGTATACATAAAGTCTCTCTTTTAACATCTCCTGTTCCTTAGTTTCTATGGCATTTCTTTTCCACTTTTTACTTTTTCTGCCACTACCTTTCAAGAACATTTCAAAGTTCCATTTTTCTGGCACTTCAAACTTGATATTTTCTTTTTTCATTATTTTTTAAAATTTATTGTTGTTCAGTTACAGTTGTCCCACCTTCTTCCCCATTGCTCACCCGTACACCATCCCCCACCATTGTCCATGCCCATGGGCCCTCTATTTGTGCTCCTTTGCCCCTTCCCCTTCTTTCCCCCATTATCCTCTTACCCCCACCCCTCTGGTCACTGTCAGTTTGTTCTTTATTTCCACGTCTTTGGTTCTATTTTGCTCATTTCTTAGTTTTGTTGATTAGGTTCCACTTATAGGTTAGATCACATGGTATCTGTCTTTCACTGCCTGTTTATTTCACTTAGCATAATGCTCTCCAGTTCCACCCATGCTGTTGCTAAGGGTAGAGTTCCTTCTTTTTTCTGCTGCGTAGTATTCAATTGTTTAAATGTACCAGTTTTTTGATTTACTCATTTACTGATGAGCACTTAGGCTGTTTTCAGTACTTGGTTATTGTAAATAATGCTGCTACGAACACTGGGGTGCACAGGTTCTTTTCAGGCTTCTTAGGGTATAGTCGCAGCAGTGGGATTACTGGATCAAAAGGCAGTCCCTTCTTTTAAAACACTGATATTTTCTGAGGTCTCTGTGTTTAGCTTTTATTTTTTCTCATTTTATTCAGACCATGTACCTTTACCATATACCATATGACCATATAGATGCTCATAGTAAACCCTGCATAAGTGGATGTCTCCACTCTCTTTACTTTCTAGCTATACTTGAAGAATTTTAAACCTGGGTTTCTAACAGCCAGCCAGCTGGCTATCTCTATGAAGAAACCCTATGCTATGTGGGCAGTCCCATATATAAAACTTAATAAGTAACTCCTTATCTTTCCTGTTCTATTTCCTATATTACCCTTCTCAAAAGAGAGCAGCACCGCCATTCTCAGCTTTAGAATTATTGCTCTTTCCTCATTCAGACTGACATTAGTCACTAAGTCCTATTAATTTTACCTTTTAAGTAATTTTCCAATTCTCCTTTCCATTCTTGTACTCAATGCATTAACTAATAATATTGTGCATTATAATTCCCTTCTAATTGATTTTCCTTCCTCTAATCGGCTCTCTCCCAATCTACACCTGTTCTGCCAGGGGAGTTTTTCTAAAATGCAAACACAAAAATAAACCTTTTCTTAAAAACATTTCCATGATTCTCTCTTGCCTTCAGAAGGAATTCAAAACCCCTGGCTGACCTTGCAGGACCCAGCAGCACCGGTGCCGACCTAACCTTCAGTCTGGGTGCAGGCCATGTCCTCAATGTTTTTTTTACTCACAACACACTGACATTTTTGCTGGTCCCCCAAAGTGCCATTTTTTCTTGCCTTCCTGCTTTGTTGTTGCACATGGTTTCTTCTGCCTGGAAGACCTTTACATTTTTCTTTAACTCCCTTCCTTTGTCCTCATCACTTATAAATTCTCAGCTCAAGCATCGCCTTATCTCCAAATTATTTTGCTGTACCCCCTTGCCCTCTGAGGCCACTCCTCTCAGGGTGGTCACACTTTGCCCTCTCTATTTCCCTCATGCATACCCTGTGCCTACCTGAACTACACAACCCTCAACATACGTATTGTTCAATTCCTTCGTCTTCATACTCCCATGAAATTACGTTTTATTCCTATCTGTACCTTCAATACTTAACACAGTTGCTGGTACACTGTACGCACACTAATCAACAGATAAAAATAGGACCTGACATAATAGCCAGTTTCATATATTTATAAAACATACATTTTTTGTTTAAACAAGAGAAATTATGCCAAACTATTCAAATATTTGTAGCATTTAAAACAGGTCATTTGAACTCATTATAAATTATACTTGTAATATAATTTATAATGTAAATTGTAATAAAATAATAATAGTGTTTTGAAAGCATTCCACACTGAGTAATACATTCCAGAAAGAGTTGCTGCAGCAGAATCAGATGCAAATATTAGTTTGGGGTGATGACAGAAACAACCCCAGAGAAAGCAACTTTTAAAGAGAGAAAAATGCCATTTTAAATACATATACAGCTCTCCTCTCATCATTGCTCTATTTTGTAATTGGAGGTGTCAACTACATATCTCTTTCATTACATTTTGATAAAACAAAAGTGATGCTGATTTCAAATTTAGGTAAAAATAGAAAGGAGGGCATTTTAATTTATGTCCACTAAATATGAGTCATACTACTTGACTGTACTTAAAATAACACAATCTGATGTTGATACTTAAGTACAGCCAAATAAGGTATAGAAATAGATATAGGAGAATAAATGCTTTGGCAGATGTAAGACATGGTGCCAGCTTTAATTTTCAGTCTTAGCAAAATGATTAAGCTCCATAAGTTGATTTCACAAAGAAAATATATAATAATCATAAATGATAGTTAAAATACTGACCATTTACTATGCAATAGGCACTATTCTATGTGTTCAGGTATTAACTCTTTTAATCTTCATTTCAACTCTATGAGCTAGGTACTATTATAATTCTTATTTTGCAGACAAGGTGAATAGGTTGAGTAGCTTTGTCCAAGGCAAATAGCTGGTAAAAAATGGATGTGGTACCCGCACTGAGCCCATGCTCTCAACCATTTTGTCAAATAAAAAGAACTTAACTTTTTATAGTATATATCAAAGATATTTGTGAATGACTATTGGGGAATAGCCCTAACAGTTGGTACAAGGGCCATGTGAACTTTCTGTTACTATTCGGGATTTCCTTATATCCTATTGGCCCAACACTACTCTCTTTTCTTATCCAGAATAGGATCTGCAGGTGTACTTGCAATAGTAAAGAGAGAAAAGGCAAAACTATTTCAGATGACACTTACCCTCACATGGAATTTTTAAGTTCTATGATCATGGAAGTTGCCACTCTTATCACAAAAGAAACATTTCAGGGAATTTATATCACTCCATCTTTTGGGCATGCCTCCTTTATATAATTAGTTCTCAGTGAACATTAGTAATACAAACAAATGCATTATACATATAAAAAATCTGTATCTGTAGCCCTCAAGGCAGTATAAAAATAGGGCAGCAAAATGCAACATGCTTTGATTTTCATACTTCTCTCTAGTTGGAGATGATTCAAGAGCTAAAAAAAAATGAGCAAAAAACAAGACAAGGGTAAAAGTCACTAAAGAGTATGTCTAACCCATAAACCATCCTCATTACTGAGTCATGACCCATGGGACTGAGAAAGCTTGGCTACTGCATAAACATGCCCTGGGGTAAAGACTGGCAATTTCTAAGGGAGGGGAAAAAGGACAATTTTATTAGGAGATGAATTTGTCTCTGACAAATAATATACACTTGCAATGACAAATAGAAGAGATTTTAAACACTGGATTGGGTAATAGAGGCAGACCATAATATCTTTAGTCACTATTCTTTAAAG